ACACAATAGATGCCTATTAAAGATGTTGTTAGACATCTCATATACCTAACCTAATCAGTTCGAATAAATGCTAAAATAGTTTCTGTATATTATATTCTGTATTCTGTACATATTATCTATTAACTGTATGTAATACAATGTTATACTAAAAAAACATATCGATACTACAGAAAACACACAAGGTGGATTGATATTAATCTACAATCGTAATTGTGGGGCGAAAACATACTATTGGCAGGGCCGGCGTTATGAAATATTGACGGGGAGGTGTTATCAAGTATTTGCCGGCTGAAAAATGTTTGACCTGTAATTTCTTAAAACTAAAATATTTAAATATACATTTTAAAAATCCTGTTTTTCTGTACGATAGTTAAGGGGCACTACAATAGCTTAAGAAAAAAATTATGATTTAATAAATATTAAAAAAAAAATAAAAAATAAAACTAAAACAACATTTGAACGGTTCTATGCACAGTTATAAGATTTGTTACCTGTACATCATAAAGGACTATTTAAAGTTCTAAAAATATAAGTCGTGTTCAAACCTACGAAGTCCGTAGGTATGCCTTTTGATTAAATAAAACAAAAATTTACTTTTGGTAAGTCTAGGTTATCTGTTGCTACAACTACTTTTTCTTTTTCTGTCTCATATAAAGTTTCTTTAAGCTTATTGGTTGTTTTCTCTACATTTCTTCTCTAACATAGTTTGTTTAAGGGGGCTCTACACTATCATTTATTAAGGCGCACTGTATAGGCAATTTTTTATTAAACTTAACATTAAGCTAAAATGTTTAAACATACATATTATCATAGAAATGAAGTATCTATTTTGATAATTTTTTTTTCTTTAAACTTTTATAGCGCATATAGGATCTATTTTTGTACAAAATCACATGTTTCTACTTCAAACGTATTGTCCTTAAGAATAATGGATTTAAGTTTTTAAAAAACATTTGAATTGTTCACAACATTATCAAGGCATCGGCCGTGGCAAAATTTAAAAATTATTTTTAGTGTATTAATTATTTCAATATCAAAAAATGCAAACTTTAACTTTTTTAAATGAAAATAGTTTTAAAATTGTGCCACGACCGATGCCTTAAAAATGTTTTGAAGAACTCAAATATTTTTTCAAAACCTAAATCGGAGTATTCTTAGGAACAGTACATTTGAATTAGAGTGAGTTGTTTTCGACCAAAAGTACGTAGGCGTAGAAGCCCCTAAAGGGTTATATTTAATAAAATTTTACTTGGTGATAGATACACTACCTACTTATAATTCAAATGCATACACTAAAACAACAATACATTTTATATTTTTATACTATTAAAAAAAAATAATACCGGGTACACAATTTATTATCAAAAATGAACACAAATTTACCTCAACACAGTTATTATATTAGGTTTATAGTTTTTTATGTTAAAATATGTTTATTTGTTACAATATCAGTGAAGCCTAAAATATACCAAAAATATACCGTATGCATACCGTTTCCGCAATTTGTGTTCAGCCATTAACGTCTCCGATTTCTGTCTCGATATATTGAATTTTTGACGTACGACAGACTTTACTCTTGGTACTATCTGATGGAGCTATTCTTTTGTTCATATAATGTCGGTTTGCATATTTATAGGACCTTTCATATACTTCATTTTGTTTGAAATATTAAAAATTAATGTATGGAAAATGTATTTTACATTTAATAATAATAAACAATATGTAACTGTAATGTAATGCATAGTAATAATGAACTTTGTTTTGTGTCATTTCCATTATTTTAAAATGCATCACCGCAATTATTATATGTATTACCTACACTGTGTACGTACAGTTTTGAGTTTTAATACGTTACTTTCCTAACCTATTACTTGCTCAAAAGACATAACACATGACAGATGTTCCCAACACCCACTTTGTTCTGTCATAAGGTGACATAAGGATATTATAAATACATTATAATATAAATTTGATCGAATCAGCAATACTGAAGCTACTAAATACTAGATAGCAATTTTTTTCCGGTTAATATGTTATGGAGTTATATGATGTTATATGAGTTCTAACTACTGGCAAATTTTCTACTTAAAGATCTTAAAATTACGGCTAAAAAACCAGAAAAACAAAAAAACTTGCAGGGGATGGGAAATGGGTATAATTTAAATTTGATACAACTGACGTGTGCAAGGATACTAAATAAATATTCCTTATAAATTTCAACTCGATCTAACAATTTTTTTTCAAAATTATAGTCAGTAAAAGTTAAAACTTTAAAATTCGAATAGTTTTTTTTGGTTTTCAAAATATTGAGGGTGAAGAAATTTTTTTTTTCAATTTTTATCCACCTTATAGTAACAACTAGATGCAATTTGTGATTTATAGAGTTGTTACTCGAAGGGGTTGGTTCAGTATTAAAAAAAGTTACAGTGTATACAGAAACAAAAATGCCCACATCATGGTAAACCCAATAGCATCTCTGATTTGTATCAAAGCTAAAAGGCGTATACCCATTACCCAGGAATTTATTTACCAATACACCATAGTATACATAGTTATTTACAGTTATGTAGCTTTCGTTTTAAGGGTGACGATTTAGTTCAAAACCACACTTTTAACTTTGCGAGGAGTTATTCTTGGTGTTGTAAGTATCTAAATTACTTAATACAAACTATGGTTCATACAGATTCATCATTTTCTAATCTTAGTAGCTTTACAGACTAACATTTTATATTTTTATTACACAAATTTAAAATATTTCATTATGTTTCAATTGACTATTATAGTTAAACTTTTAACTCAATTTGTATAAAAACTATAATTTGATGGGCACTAATATCAAATGTTATTACAGAACGTATTTCAATTTGTTTTATATTTCTTTCAGAGCATGTTTAAAAGATCTACGCTTAGAACCGAATTTGTACCAACAATATTTACCCATGATGACCTAAAATATAATTAGAAAAATTGAAAAAAAAATGGACGGCCTAGTTAAAGTTGGAAAATAGTAGTTTGCCGGGATTATTGACTAAGCCTAGACGCTTCACAATTAATATAATGGTTAATTTATTATTTAGTTGTTTATTTACCAAACAAATATTACATATATACAATTTTTTTAACAAGAAGTATTCAGTAAAGACTACATTAACGCCCAAAAATATAATTTTTATTGCACAAAGTATTCACTAAAGGCTACCCAAAAATACAATGCGATTTCGGTAATGTTGAACCACATTAAATTATTTTGTAACAGCGAATGTTTTTTGCATTCGACCACGACTCATTCCTGTCTTCCTGGCAGACCACTTTCGGATCATCTTTAATGAGGGGTTTCAAATTGAACTTATTTGGAGAGGTTATGGCCCACGGCACATCAAACGTTACCTTGTAAACATCTTGATAATAATTAAGCGCCAAGAGCAACTCGCCCTCGGTACCCGTTGGTGAGTCTTTACGGCCACACAATCGAATGGTCACCGGATTATTTTTTGTGATTCTCAAACCATTCGGAGACGTTATCTCCTTACAATTTGGATCGGTCCATTTTCCATAATTTAATAATGCTTCGCGTACTTCCAAATAACTGTCGTCGTCGTTGTACGATACGGTAATGTGTATCCATTGCTTATGCGAAAAAGGTTCAATAGGTGTAACTGATTCATTGAAACGATTGGAGTCGGACGTCGTATCCACGTTTACGAGCGAACACCGAACGCTGGCTATAGCCAAAAACATAAAAATTAATCGGTACATGTTCGCGAAATTGCTTTATGAATTGTATGTAAAACAAGTGGGCACAGTCTGTGATTTGTAGTTAAACTGAATGTATAACTGTTGAATCGATCGAATATATACCACGAAATTGCCGGTTTCGTGGTACCTAATCGATTTTATATTTTGTCCCGGGCAAAGGTTATAAACGGCTAATTAATTTTTGCTCAAGTGGCAAAAAATAAAAATTAGTTTATCTAATCAATTTGTTGTTATTTTTACATTAAAAAATGTAGTAATTTACTCGACCGTCGTATGCATAAAGTGTTAATCTCACCGAATGTTGTTTAGGTCGACTCATCGAATTCAAGTTATTATAGTGATAGACATATAAATTCGGTCAGCCGTCGTATATAAAAGTGTGTAGCTACCGAATTTCCCTTATTTTAGTGAAAACGTAGACATTTGTTCGACCGTGATGTACAGAAGTGTGAATTTCTACATACCGAATTTATAAATTTTATTGCTAAAACAGATATTTTATTGACTATCGAATGTAATATATTTTAGTTCAAACGACCTACTTTATGTTATTTTAGTGAAAACGAAGAGACTTGTTAAATTGTTGTGTATAAAATTATGGATCTCGGACTTTTTATTTTTAACATAGTTTGACCTCATAACTATTAGGATACATATATATATATAGTGTACTTTGCGTTTATATATATTTTTTCGAGAACAATTTTATGTGTTTTATTTGTCATTTTAGAAACGTTAAAATGCGATATGCAGCAACTTTTAAAAATATGTAATTCTACCTTCAATCTTTACTTTACCTTAACGGAAAAAAACGTCGATAATTAATCTATAAAATGTCACTGCAAAATTATAACATTCTTATTTAAATTACGTGTTTTAAAACGAAATTGATACGAATTCACTTTTTTTAATTTATAATCTAAATAAGATAATATGCAGTACTGTAAACAAACGGCCTCAATTTCTTATCAGTTCAAGACCGCAAAAATATAGTGGCCTCGATTCGTAATTGGGAATATCCTATCCATATTTTTATTATCAATGTAACGGCCTCGAATAAGTCATAGAATGTGCGCGCAGAGTACCCCGCTACAGCTTCATAAGTCGTCCGTCAGTGTATGTGTATTCCGCCGTCGCCATCACGCTGTCTCACCGCCGCCATCACGCTGGTTCATCGCCGCCATGCTGGACTGTACGCGTACCACGCCGTCGCCATCAGGCTGGTTCACCGCCGCCATGCTGGCCTGTACGCGTACCACGCTGGTTCACCGCCGCCATGTTGGCCTGTTCGCCTGTAGTGTTTTGCAATAAATTTGAAGGTACTCGTGAGTCGTGTGTTAATAATAAAGGGTGTTTGTTTTACAACGATTTTATTTTTTTCTCCAATGCGCAAAAAGTAGGTGTAGAAACTTAAAAAAAAAAAAACAATTTGCATAGTGTAACAACAACTATTGGTATCATATCGGCCTACACAACAAACAATAAATTGTTTTTCTAGTGAAATATTTTCGTATTCAAAACATTTGTACAAACGAGAACACTTACAACGACAACAACAGCAGAAAACACATAAACCATTTCTTTTAAAAGCAAATAAATATATTTTCAATTCAAACCTACGCGTCGATAAAATATCTTTTTATACTTCATAGTGCGAAAAGACCGTTTGTGAGTATCAGTAAGCAAATTTTCATTTCATAACAGGTTTCATACACGCCACGTTCATATTTTGAATTACAATGTTTTCAAAAAATATTGTACTACTTTTGTGTGTCTTGGGTCTTGTAGAGAAGAGTATTACCACAGGTCAAGTATATATGTCCAATACAGTGGATGGAGCTTCTATGGTGGTATGTATTTAAAAATCAGAAATACTTATAAGCTTGTAGTAAACATGACCAAAATAACATAAAAACCTATTGCATTAAAATATAGAAGGTAACAAATTTTCGATAGAGATTGACGATTGTTAAGATTATTGTATGGATAACGTTGTGAGCAGAGTGGTGCAAATTCTTATTCTATTAATTAAATTTGAAATTATTAGAACATTTTTTTATGAATAATGTGTTATTTAGATAAAGTTTTATTCAAATGATGCAGCACTGTGACTGTAAGTTGTTTTTCATATTTCATCTATGTAAGGATGAATATGTCTGCAAAAAGCACAAAATAAACACATCAAAATCTGAAAAGTAAAATTATCATTTGTTTTATGTTTTTAATGTAAAAAAGAAAACTTCTATGAATTTTTAAGATTTTTTTAACGTTTTTCTTAGCAGAAACCCGATTTGTCTCTTTTATTATCTCTAACTTTTAGCTTCGATGCAAAGCGAGAAGGTATTGGTTTTACTCTGATGTATGTTTTTTTTTTATCTGTATACACTGTAACTTCTTTAATACTAGACCAATTCCTTCGAATAGCAACTCTATAAATCACAAATTTTGTCTAGTTTGTACTTTGGGGGGGTAAAAGTTGAAAAAATTTAAGTCTTCACAGACGAAAGTTGAAAAAACAAAAAAAAAACCGTACGAGTTTTTAAGTTAGAACTTTTACTGGCTATAGTATCAAGAAAAAGAGTCGGATCGAGTTGAAATGTTTAAAAAATATTTATTTGGTAAGCCCGCGCACGTCAGTTTTGTCAAATTCAAAATATACCCATTTCCCGCCCCCCTAAAGGGGGTACAAGTTTTTTTGTTTTTCGGGGTTTTTAGCCGTAATTTTAAAACTTTTGGGTTGAAAATTTGCCAGTAGTTGGAACTCATATGTACCCATAACATATTAAACGGGAAAAAAATTCGGCACTACAGTTTTTTTTTAATTGCCGGGAAACTGTGTTTTCGCAGATTATGTATATTTTAACAAAAACACTTAAAATCTTTAAAAAAAATTGATCAAATCATTAAAACAATTTTATTTATATCTATGCAGAATGATACTATTAGGTTTTGTGCTCAAGTACCACTCTTGACTTAAAGTTTACACAATGTTCTTTTTTTTTTTTTTTTAACTAAAAACCCAGTGTACCAGATGTGAGAAACGAACAGACACTAAAAACTATCAGTTGGTAACGTCTATCCGTGTTAGATTAGGTTAGGGTCCAATGATCGGTATCATAATATTGTGTTTATTACATGATATCCTAGGCGACTAAATCGTGTAACTGATTATAGTAGACACTCGATTTATTGGGAAAAAAACCTATCCGTGTACTTATTAAGACATTTAATGATTCTGATACGACAAAACCACTGTCGTTATCTCGTTATTTTATAGCCTGCGTTATATAACCTTACCGAAGGTTAACTATGAGTATTTAATGTCCAATTACCTGCAAATAATGAAGAGGACTGTTGTTTTTTGGATTCAGATTAAGTGTTGGTTTTTATGCAGTATACCGCCTCAAAATGTTTTTTTTATTACACAATTTTTTTAAAGGAAAACTTATGTTTTGTATATTGTTATACTGTTATTCATTTAAAGAGATTCACGCTTGATTGTTTAAATTGTCTAATATTAGATAATCTGCTTCGTGCTAATTTTATTTTTTTAGTTTATCAACTTGTAGCTCTAATTTTGTAAAAAATATTTCATTATTTTATTACTATGTACCATTACTATTAAGATAAATTTTAATAATAATTAAGTCATAAATGATAATACTTTATTTTGTGACTAGATCAGATCTCGTGAACATTTAATATCATGATACTGCTCCTATGCTATTATTAAAAAAACACAATTTTTAAAATCTCCATAATAGGTTATTGTTAAATAACAGGCAACAGCCGACCGCTAGTGGCTATACATGTTAGTAATATTTAACTAATAAGTAATAAATGTAGGTAAATTTTATTGTTTTCTCCATCACAGTACCAGTATACGATTTATTTTAATTTAAATGTAAGAAAATCGATTTTTCTTTAGAAAATAACAAGAAATTAATATACAGGATGAGGCAGTAAAACGGCGATTTTCTAATGTATTTAAATGGTAAAAACCCGTTTCACTATCCCACCCTTTACATTTTAAGGATCTATGAAAAGGTTTTTTTAGTTGCATTTTATTTTGTACATTGTCAATCTAGTAAAATAGAAGTATAATATAGCTTTGAAATAATATAATCTGTGAAGTATAAATAGTTTGTTTGAGATTGCTTTAATGGAAGTATATAATACATAAATATTAATTTTATTGAGAATAAGCGATTATAATTTAAACTATGGAGTACAAACGATTGAAACATGAATCGTCGACCATTCCAACAAAATATAACAAGACATTGTATATGTGTTATTTGGTCCACTAAGTTTTTGCAAAAAAAAAAAAAAACCAGTACAGTGGGGTCGGGGCATAGTGGGGACGGAGCATAGTTGGGTCGGGGCATATTGGGAACGGGGAGGTCACAGGTTTACAGGAATTTTTAAATCTGAAAGTGATAAAATCACTTTCGAAAAAACGCTTCGATGCAAATCGGTAGTTAGTATTTTCAAGCCAGTACAGTCCAAACCAAGCACAGTATAAACCAGCAAAGTTAGAAAGTTTTAAATGAAGATTCTGTATTTACAAATGAGCATCAAAGCGTTTATTTGAAAGCGATTTTATTCAATTTTATCACTTTTATTTATAATAATTCTTGTAGACCTGTGACCACTCCGTTTCCTCATTGCTTTGATTACATTATGCCAATACTCTACTGTACTAGTCCTCTCGAATAAAATCGCTTTTAAATAAACGCTTTGATGCTCATTTGTAAATACAGAATCTTCATTTAAAACTTTCTAACTTTGCTGGTTTATACTGTGCTTGGTTTGGACTGTACTGGCTTGAAAATACTAACTACCGATTTGCATCGAAGCGTTTTTTCGAAAGTGATTTTATCACTTTCAGATTTAAAAATTCCTGTAAACCTGTGACCTCCCCGTTCCCAATATGCCCCGACCCAACTATGCTCCGTCCCCACTATGCCCCGACCCCACTGTACTGGTTTTTTATCTCTTATATTTAATTTATTATAATAATCTCTAATGTTTTGTCTCTTATCTTTAATCTCATATTTATTTTTTCTAATCTCCAATCATTGGCCATAACATTCAAAATTATTTATCGGATAAAAACAAAGCAACTACTAAATCGCGCCACACGCACAAATGTCCCATGTAACGTTACCCACGCACAGATTTTTTATTGAATCCGAGCCAAAAGAAATATCCATGTCAAAATATAATAAGTTTCTAGTGCAAAAAATAATGTTTTCGTATTTTTCAAAAGATTTTAAAATTTTAAATTTTCAACTAGATTTATTGTCTGCTATAATGTGTAATCTCAAAAGCGATTAATAAAAAAAAGAAAAATTAATCGTTCATAATATTCTAGTATATAAATCCAAATCTGGATCAGTTGACAGACAAGGAATGGAAAACGATATTTAATGAGTACGACAGCGATCGTGATGGTTTTATCTCCTCAACAGAATTACAGAAACTAGTTTTTGACAAGTTCAAAGGATTCGTCACCGTTCACCAAGCAGAGTTATATATATATTTAATTAATAATAAAAATAATCCAATGTGCTACGAAAAATTCAAACAACAAAATCCAAAATTATTATCAAAAAGCAAGTTGAAAGATATGAAACCAATAATATTTGTTTTGTCACAGGTTTGTTCAGTTTTTTTATTGGTCCATTTTTAGAACTTTGTAGTTTTTCCTTATGAAAAAACTTTTTTTTTAATTTAATTGTGTAATATTTTAAATTATCCAAGCTTCGCAATTTTTCAGAATGTCCAACTTTAGAAATTTGAAAGGGAACGTAAATAGTGAACTAACATTTAAAGTTGAGAATAATTATCAAACATGTTTAATGGTCGATTCACCGGCACTCTAGAATTTTTTTAGTTTTGATGTTTTCATTAATTTTCAACTCACCAACCATGAAAATTCTAAAAAAAATCCTATACATACTTCAACCAAATTATAAATTAAAAAAATCATCAAATGCGAACAAATTATGTATAATATATTGTGAACATTGACGATATAATACTTGAAAAATGTAAATTTTAATATTAACGTTGAATAGATTTTGAATATCTAAAGTACTATTTTTATGTAATAAGTTAAGAAAAGGAAAGATGAGGGTAAAGAAGAGTTAAACAGTTTAAAGTATTAGAACTTTTGTAACTTTAAAAGTAACTATCCAAAACTAATTATCGACCAGACAAAATTCTCAGCAAATTATTCCTAATTAAATAAGTTATTTAAGTATTTAAATTACCATTTAAGTGTCGAAAATTGATAGAACACCAGGAAGAATACAAATTTGAGTGTGTCAAAATTTGTAAAGAACAATAACTAATGTGTCTTTAAAATTGACGTGTATTATCTTTAATGAATCATCATATATAATATTTGTTAGCATCTAAATCTTACCAAAAAAGTCATTATTAAACTGACATAATATGCGCTTCTTATATTTTTTTAGAGACATAGTGAAGAAGAGATTGACAAGCTGCTTCCAAATTACCAAATTTTTAGAGAAGCTTTCGTAGATATAATATGGAATTCTTTTAATAAACTGTTCCAACACAAAGAAGAAATTTTAGAAGTACTCAAAACTATTGGCCATAACGGTAGTAAAAACTTAACTATTTATTAAATTTTTTTTTTTTATTATCTACAAACTGTTTACAGAAAGTTTACCAATTGAATCGACGGAGTACCGAAAAATACTAAAAATGTTGGCGGCTACGGCAAGGGTAGGAAGTATTAATTTTAATATTATTTTTACTCTATCAGTATGATTAATCATACTACCAGGTGGAAAGATGATATTCAAATTCTGTCCTTGAAAAATTAACATCAATAATTTTTTAACACATTATTTAAGCATGGTAGTCTTAGATATAAAAAACCTAATTTTTGAAATTTTTAATATTTTATTTATTATTTTAGCACTTAAATATTTTTATATTTAAGTATGTAGCCTATAGAGTAGATTTGTGTATAAATTTAATATTATCGTATAATGAATACGCATTTTGTCTTAAATCATATAATAATATAATAATGTGTTTCTTTAAACTTTTAGATGGCAAATATATACAAGAATTTTCTTTCAACAAACGGTAAATACTTAGATACAGCATTGTAGTGTACATTTTTATTGATTAATATTTAAATATTTCCAGGCAAAGAAGATTTTTTTGAATATTTAAGTAAAAGTCCACTGTTTGGAGATCCATCTGGTACTCTAATAACTAAGGAAAATACTACACTCAGCAATAAATTCAAGGCATTATTTATTCGTTGAAACATTTAACGTTTTTGAGTATGTACTAATAATTTATAAAGTTTTTAGTAATTTTTTGTTTATTGCAAGCTAAAAACATATTTAAAAAATCTAAACTTGTTTCACATATTACAGTATATTTATCTAAATAAAATTAAGGAATTAACTATTTACAAAAATATTGCACTATAGACATTTTTATATTTAATTATTAATAGATTATTTAATGAATTTATATAACTGCTAAAGAATTAATAAATATGTGTAACAAAGTATTTGTTTGTATATTTTTCGATTTTTGTATTATACTTTGATGGATACAAATTGGCTCTTTCCTACACCTTGTAGCCTTATATTATGTTAATAACTTAAAAAGTTTATAATCAAACTTAATATTAAATCATTATATTATGACCTTAAAAGTAACCTAAAAATGTACTATTTTTTAACTTGAATATCGAAAGCAATTTTACAAGATTAATGCAGTACGGAAAGTTGCAGAAATCGGTTAATGTTGGTTTTAAACAATATGTCTTAGATTACTACGCCTATTAATTGTCGGAACATTATGGTCAACTTTACTTTATACTAGTGGAAAAACGTCGATATTGGATGTAAAAAATGTCTTAATTCTTAAAAATATTAATAAAAAAAAAAAAATGATCGAATCATGACAATATTTGTATGGACATGTATTTAGAGTGATTCTAGTAAGTTTTGAGTACTAAAGTACAAGTTTTAGGTTTAAATTTTTTTTTTCACTCAAGTTTTTTTTTGGCTGAGTATAATAATCGAGAACTGATGTAAAATTCGATACCAGCTACCCCAAAAACAATTTGACCATGTCCAAAATAATCATAAAAAATATGTGATATTCTCAGGACCAGTACACTTATTGGAATTTCTAAAGCCCTGTATTAGTCGACGTTAGGTGCACATTGTATCAAAATAATGTTTACTTACGTCTTTTGAACGTGAAAAAAAATTGTACATAAACCATCGTTATGAACATATTATTTTCATTTATGTAAACAGTGGAAATGGAAACGCACATCAAAATATCACACAGGTGTTATTCTAAAGTAAAAAAACTGAGTTTTTGCTCGGTGTCACTTTTGATATATGCGCCGATGTGCGAAATCATACAAAAACGTCAAAAAGAGATAAGAGAGAATTAAATCAAGACGGTGAATTCATTTAAAAAAATAATCAACATCGGTATTTTTCTGACCAACTAAGTTAATAATCAGTTTATAACCACTTTTGGACAACTATTTTTGGAGTTATTGAAGTTTCAAGTTTAGGGCTGGAGGAAAGGTATTACTATAGTACTATTTTTATCTGCGCGCTTCTCCCAACCACACTTCTCCTCCCATCATAACTTTAATACTCTTATAGCTTAAAAGTAGTTGTCGAAAACCTGAAAATCAACCGGTCACCATTTTTAATACACTATTATAAATTAAAAAAGTTAATGAAACGTATAAGTTAACATTTAAGTTTCAAAAGTTGCAACTTATAGTTATAACTCGCACATGTACAATATCTTCTAAGCTATATATTGGGCAAGATATGATGTATATGATATCCATACAACAAGTCCATACAAACCGACACCTTGTAAACGCAAAGTATCGAAAACATGTCAACCATGTGTAAGCGCACCGCACGATTTTTTGTGCAAATAAGAACTTTATGTAAGCAACGACGGTTGTTATTTTACTGAAAATAAGATCGACACGTCTCACAAGTACATTGAAAGTCACATTTACAAGTTCGAGTAAGTAAAATCTTCACAACCGTCTTTTATCGAATTGATAGAATTGATTTTGGATCATATTTGTATAGACGGGGTGCTGTACTCAAAACACGGTGTCCAAATTTTATTCGGGAATCCCATGTATAGTCGGTAGCCGTTTTTGTGTATAGCCCTCATATAGCTAATCTGTATATAATTCTAAAATTAACCGTGTTAGTGGCCAATAGAAATTAATTCCTATGTAATTTGTTATTTCACAGGTTGTTCTACAGCGTAGAGTTACAAAATGACTGTATTGAAACCGTGGTATGTGATGTTGTTTTTTTTATAACGCAATTTCTCTATCGGTCGTACGGTGACCAGGCGGATGAAATCGAGAAGTCCATAAACACATTGCTTAGCTTACAGGAGTTTGCTACCGGTTACCCGGATATCCCAAACCCATACGATCGTCAGAGTTTGAACGACTGGCCCCTACAAGATTTGCAGACACTAACAGACAAATTGAACAAACGACTGGAATGCGGATACCTTTACAGCACTCTGTTGCATTTAAATTCGACGAGAAAGTTAGTTTTGATGAACGCTAACAAGGCTGTCACATCGGAGAAGGTCGACGATTTTACGTTCGACAATGAGGCGACTATGATGAACGATTCGTTTGTGGATCCGAGCAACGACCGGATGGACGATCTATGGTCAATTTTCTTATGGGCCCGTCAAATGCACACTTTCTTCTATTCAATCATCAAAGACGGTACATGGGCGGTAGATGCTGCTATTTCAAAGAAAAAATTAGAATTGGACGAACGCTTGCATTCCGCAATAGCAAAGCGCATCAAACACATCAGGTGTAAACCCGATAACTGTTTCAATATGGAATTCGAAAAATGCGAACACCGGCAGCAAAATAAATGGTGTTTTTCATCCCTAAAAAAACCGAAACAATCGCCCGACGACCTGATGAACGCAATACGAAGAAACAAACAATTACTGCATAAACACTTCATCGAAAACCGGGCTAAACGATTAATGCGGTCCTCCACGTCTGAATCGCATCCGTTCGGCTCTTTGTGGCTGTTTCGCGACGAGGGAGCATTCAAATTGTTTTTTGAACAATTTTTGGCCACCGACTCGGTTCGTGTCGAAGTACGGTTTCCGGGATTGGATTCGGAAATGAACTTGACAGGAATCGATCCACTCGGAGAGTACCAGAACCAGGCATGATGAAAATAATAGCGTTGCAAATAACAATTTCGTATACGAACCGACTTAGCGAATCCGGCAACTATCAAAGAGACGTAAACACTTTCGAAATTACTATCTTAAAAGAGTTTGATAGAGTAATGTCTTTGCATGACGACACGGATTTCAAAAACATTTACAAAAATTATGCAGTGTGTTACGATAATCTTGAACAATGCAAGTTATATCTTAAAGAAACCAGTGTCACAATGACTAGGAAGTATAAGGAAACATATCATTTACCCGAAATAAAATCGATAGTGACCGATAGCGACAGCTCCTTAGAAGAAGTTCGTGGAGTAGGCATAAAATTTGTCGATAAAATACGAAAAGAGATAGGAGGAAATCCAATATGCATGGTGCAAATGTTTTTAAAAATAATCTTCGATACAGACTTATATTTCCTATTGCGTGGTTAAGTCTACGATTACATGGCATGTCACGAAATTGATTTAATTTAAAACTTTATTGAATGTAACATATATTATATAATCATAAAAAAATAATTATTCGTATTAATGCACTTTTGATTTATTTATAATGCACTTATCTTGGGGTTTTTTTTTGTTGGTTGTGGGAATATTAAAACAATCAAAAATAATATTTATGTAAAATACAATACAGCGTTTTATTTAATAATAATAAAAAACATTGTTCGTATTACAATTAAGGCACTTTTAATTTATTTATTAGCACCTACCTTTTTTATATGGGTTGTAGGAGTATAAAAATTGATAAAAAAAATATTTTTGTTGAAGAAAATATAGCGTTCTATTCAATATAAATCGGGCCAAGAACTTTGTAGATTAAACGTCATGAAAAAAACACTTGTGGCTTCCATCAGTCTTTTTGTCAAATCAACAAGACAATGTGAAAATAAAAATACGATTTATCGATATTTGTCGATTTGACGGTTTCAGTCGCCAAACGATAATACTGATTATTAACGCTACACATAAACTGCAAAACTTCTTTGACAAAAAAAATAGTTAATATCTAAAACCTTAAAAGAAACAATTAATTACTTTATGTTATAATCGTTTGTTATTAAAATTTATTCAGAGATGGCAAAGGAAAAAAAACAGTTTATAACTCAGAACTTACTTATATAATACAATACCATGATATACATGTAACTACTAACGTATTCAATAAACAGTTAGAAGGAATTTATATGCTAATTCTGTGTTTCAAGGTTATGTTTATAATATCCCCAACAAAAGATGGCGGTTACTTTCTAACCGCTGCTTAGTGTTGTATTAATTATATTGTTTGTACATTTTAAACGAAGATAAATGATGTAAGTTCTTTATATATTTATTCTACACAATACTATAATAATAACATATATATATATAAATATATTAATTTGGTAGATTAAAAAGGCGTTAGTATATTGTTTTTCTACGCCACAAAAACTGTTAAATATTAAAAAATGATTTTCAAGTTGTAAAGGAACAACATTTGGTATTAAAGAAATAAACTTGTACAAATATTTTAAAAATAAAACATAATTTTCAACATTTAAGCTGGTTAATCATGAATACCAAACAAATCAACTATACATACTATCGCATTTAAAGCTACTATTTATTGTGATATTTATAATTAGACTATTATTATTATCACCTTTAACAACTGTTGTATTGATGTTCACAGAAATAATTTAATTTCAATTATCAATCATCGATTAAATTATTAATTATTACTTGTTTAGTTTTTTGTCAAAATAAATCATTTTTTTATTATAACGTTTTTATGAACTTACAATCTTGTTTGTCGTTCCGGGTGGAATCTTACAACTGAAATTTCAAGCACTTCCCTATTAGCTATCCGGCTGAAACTTTCAGGGTAGCTCACAATTCGATGACAATGCATTATTTATCCACAAGAGGTTGAAAATTCCACCCCTAAGGGGGTTAAAATAAGGTCGATTTCTTGTCTGTCGTTCCGGGTGGAATTATGCAATTCAAAAAGACTTATTTCTCACCCGCCAGCAACGTGCGTTTGGGCGTGAACGGTGCTCGGATATGAGCGGTACCAGGTTCAAACCTGTTCCCATCATTACATTTTTTTGAATTTTCTTACAACTTTTATGATAATTTATAGAGTAATTACAACTTAATTTCAACTTTAATGATAATTTATACAGTAATAAATATAAAATTATAA